TCTACAAAAGCTGTGTGACATGGTCCCACCTGCCCCCTGCCACCTATCACTGCCACCTATTTCCCGAGGATCAATCAGGCTATGGTAGAATTATTCTTGTCCTTTCTTGTCCTGGCACTTGACTTTGGCTAAGGCTGTTGCCACTTGATTGTCTATGCAGCAAGCAGCCTCCATATGCAGGTACTGAACCAATGGGAGCAGTCTCCCCCGCACTCATTCTTTCCTCACTCAGAACTATTTTCTTTCCTCCTCCTCAACCTAGCTCAGAAACTGCTCAGAGGACATCAGTGATTATGCCCAGGTACAAGGCAACACTGCCTTCCCACAGCCTTACTAGAGGCAAACGGGACTCACATCCTTGTCTTTCCTCTCAAGACCAGGTTAAGCCGCTCCATCTGTCCTGATCTCTCCAGTTTCCCCCTGAACTATGTCAGAGTTTAAACTTACTTCTTAGATTTTTTCCCAGAGTTTTGCTGGACATTAAGGAGTATTATACAAGAAATGAGAGGAGCTGTGGGAGACTAGTCAGAAGAGAAACCATGTGGTATTGTTTCTGGTTCTTGAAAGATTTCTCAGGTGGCACTTGAAGGATGAGAAGAGCAGGTTGAGCCTAGCAATGGAGACCATCAGGATGCTGTTGCAATGGTCCAGGCAAGATCCAATACTGGTTTCTACCATTCGAGTAGCTCTGATGGAGAGGAGAGAAAAGATTCAAGAGATTCTTATGAGGCAGAATCAGTAAGATTTCATTATCTATGAATGTGAATGTGAAGAAGGGCTCTGGGAATGTGTGGGCGGGAGGAACACAGAAAAGTTGGGAAGGAATTTATAGAGTACCACTTTGAACATTTGGAATTTGAGGAGCCTTTGGGACATTTTTCTGTAGATCCTCCTACTGGCTGTCAGAAAGATGTTCTAGAGCTTGAGAGAGGTCCAGGCCGGGGCTGGAGAACTGGAAGTCATTGGTAATAGGTGGGAGTTGAAACTGTGCCCACAGATGAAACCCTAGAGAGAACATATTGAATAAGAAGAGGTGGGATCAAGGGCGGAACCCTGGGGAACACCAATAATTCATGAAGAATGTTGGCAAAGCAGACTGAAAGTGAGTTGTTACAAGATAGAGCTACAAACAAGAGAAAGTGTCAGAGATAACTGTAGAGGAGGGTTTCAAGAAAGCATAAGCATTTAATATCAGTGACTACAGAATATTTAGGTGAGATTACAAAAAGAAAAATCACATTGGACTTGATGATTAGGAGGACATTCGTGACCTCAGAAAAGGCAGTTTTAAGGAAATCATGGAGGACTAAGCTTAGCTGTCAAGGGTAGGAATGACCTAGAGCTGTAGTTAGAGAGGTATGCAGGGCTCTAGAATAGCTTTGAAAGACAGAGGTGGTTGAACGTGTTCACACACTGGAGGGAAGGAGTGGAGTCCCCGTAAAGTGGAAGAGCTGATGTGAGGCTCCGCTGCCCAGGTGAAGGGGTGAGGTCAGGCATGTGGAAGGACCGAGATCAGAGCCTGGCATTGGTTCTTGCTTTGTAAAGCTCAGTATCATGCCGAGGCAAGCAGGGACAGCGGGGCTAGAATCTGCCAGTGCCGCAGGCGGATGTCACCACTCAGAGCCCAGGTCCTGCTGAGGAGAGGTAGCGGCAGCCCTCAGGGCTGATGAAGAAGAAAAGCCAGTCTTCGCTCTTGATGAGCGTCCCTGGATTCCCTCTAACCCAGATGGCTCCTCCACGGTTAGCTCCATCCAGCGCCCCCCGTCCCCGCCGTTCTTTCCTGCCATGCCTGTCCTCGCTTCCAGCAGTCATCACTGCCACTTCTCCACCACAGCTGCTGCCAGCTCTGCCTCTTGCAGTGAACCGCATTTTCAGACCTCATCACTCACCGAGATACAACGAAAAGGATGTTGGTCAAAATGACAGCAGTCTCTGGCTTCTAGCCGCCGCCAGCAGAATTCCTGGAATCCAAGTTCTCTTCCCCTTCCAATTGTCCTTTCCAGGGACTGGCTTTTCAACATACTTCCCAGAGCCAAGAGAGTCATCAGAAGCCACAGCACAAGAACTGTCCTTGCTGCTGCTCTGGGGGCTGGTCACAGCCTGGAGAGATCCTTCTCTTTCCCCATCAGGGTTGGCCTCACAGTCCCACTGTGGTGC